GAGTCATCGATCAGCTGCCTCTTACACACCCCCTACTGGGGATATGCCCGCAACCAAGGTACATGCCCTTGACCGGAATAGAACCCAGGATCTTTCAGTCCCAAGCCGACGCTCTATCCACTGAGCCAAACCGGTTTTGGCCTCATTATTTCTTGATACTAAGTACTTAGATGTGAAATCACTACATCAAAATATTCAGACTTTCAAATCTCTGGGTCTGTTGGCCAACAGTTCTCTCTAACGCTGCATTAAGAACATCCCTCGCTCCCGCCCCTGCCTCAATTGCCAAACTGGCAACTGCATTCTTTTCCACTTTTGTTTATCTGCCAGCGAAACTATGGCACTGCCCCTCTGTGGTTTCTGTTTACATTCTGGTTACTAAAATTTCTGGCTTTTATTTAATCCTTCATATTTTTGGCCTGCTCTATTTATCAGGGAACAAGATGTAAAAGGTGAAGTGATTAAGAAGTATAAATTGGTAATTACACAATAGTCACAAGGATGTAAAGTACAGCATAGGGAATATAGTTAAAAATACTGTAATAACTATGTATGGTGCCAGATGGGGACTGGAAATATCAGGGGAACACTGTGTGAAGTATATGATTATCTAACCACTATGCTATATGCCCAAAACAAATACAATATAATATTGAATGTATACTGTAATTGAAAAAAAAAAGCAAAGAAAAGAACATTATGCCGCTATGATCAGTCTTTCAAGAATGTAAAGTATTATAACAGAAAAGCAATGGTGAATATTTATTATGACACCTGAGCTTCCTGACCAAATCTGGTCAATGTTTTTTGGAAGCCAACTAACCATGGTTTCAAATGAAGTACTAGTGAAACTTACTAATTTATAACCATAAGTACAGCATCTACTGTCCAAATGAGCGGGTATGTGGCCTGAAGGCATTCCACACATTTATGTAGTACTATAAACCTATCCCATCCCATTGTTAGCCACTTAACTGGTTTCCCAAATTCTTTTCAACCTGCCTATCTTCAGAAGAATTTGAAGTTTCCCTAGTCATTCTGGAATTTAGGTCATTCAGAGTGCTAAGTGCTGAGCCCAATCTAGCTAGGGACCACAGGCACTCCCAAATTCAAACTCTACCCAGCTGTGCATCAGCACATGCTTATGGTGCATTACTTATGTAACGCGATGGGAGGAAGAGAGTTTAGCTAATAGAAACTAAAGATTTCACTTAAGAACTTGCATTTCAACTTCAAAAAATAGGACAGAGTCACAATGTATCTTTTTCTCAATAATGTTGAGGTCTAAACAAAATGAGTTTCCAGTCATCATTTTAGAAACAAGCATGTTTTCAGATATTTGAGTTGATATTTTAATATTATGTTATATGGATGATCTTGCAGAGAAATGTTTAAAATAGAAACAAAACACTCCAAAGAAAAAAGGAAACCCACACTTCATTGACGTGAGTATGTTTTAAATTATAGGGTAAAATCACCAACTTCTGACCCCCAGCCAAAATGATTAAGTAGATCCAGATGTCACAGATAGAAAGCCAAATGTTTACATCACATCTTAAAAGCAATCATTATTTAATCCTGCAAAGGTATGGGGTGCTCAGAAGGTTTAATGTATCAAGGAGAGATAAAGAGATGCTTTCTATAAAAATGTAGTGAGACACATGCCCACGAGCTGAATTCATGTTGATTCTCCCCAGAAGCTTAATGTTTTCAAGTCACTGAGGCAGATTTTCTCAGTATCTTCCCTCTCACCTGGCATAAAGGCTTCAGATGACTGACAGTCTATAATGCCTTCGTGGCAAAAGAGTAATTAAAAAAACAAACAAAACAATATACCACTGATACTAAGTTTGAGCCAATATTATCTCTGATCTAATTCCGAACTCATTCCTTAACAAGACCCTCTTTATAACATGTGGAGCTCCCTGCCCCCATCATTTGGACTTTTCCCCCAATATGGGTGCCATCTGTCTGCAACATCTGTTACTCCTCTGATTGCCAAAGTCAATTTGGATGATCTGCCTAGTTTCGTTCTCTTTTGGATATTTCTGACTACCCATCTTGCTACTCACCCAAAGAGATGTAGTAGGTCTACTTGGACAAAAGTTATGGAAACCATATTTCCCAAGCCCAACATTAGAATAGTCATAGTCTGACAAGTCTGACTGTACTTCAGCATACAAAAGGCATACTATTGAACTTTCTGAAGTATCTAGAATGGGTAGTATCAGCCTGAAGAAGACCAGTAGGCATGAAATACTAATGTTTTCTACCACTTTCAGGTTCAGATTGTTCTGTCATCAGGCTTTTATTATATTTTAATGAATTACTGAGAATTTAAAAGGTACTTAGAATTCACAAGTCTTTTAAAACTGTTGTTTTTTAAATTCTCAAATTGTTGTCTCATTTATATTTTTTAAAAAATATATATTTTATTGATTTTTTTACAAAGAGAAGGGAGAGAAATAGAGAGTTAGAAACATTGATCAGCTGCCTTCTGCACAGCCCCCACTGGGGATGTGCCAGCAACCAAGGTACATGCCCTTAATGGGAATCGAACCTGGGACCCTTCAGTCTGCAGGCCAATGCTCTATCCATTGAGCCAAACTGGTTAGGGCTCATTTATGTTTTTAAAAATCTCTTCGGATAAGCACATAGATTAGCTTTCTCATTTGCAATCACCATTTTTAGTTTGGAAATCATAGCAACTCCTTGGAGCCTGCGTACTGAAGGAGTCAGAATGGAGATTGGGGCACAAGGTGGCAACACTGATCCTCTGGATAGGGGTCACTCCTGGAACCCTATCTGAAATGGAATGAGATACTATGTCAGCTTCCGTCTACTAAGAGCCTGCCTTATAGCCCTTCCTTCTTTGCTACTGACTGACCAGGGTGATGGGTCTCCTCAGGGAGCCATAGGAAGCGGAGGACTCATGGAGAGCATCACCCCCTGTAGTCAGCAGCCCTCTGGCCTGACCCATGGGCATGTAATCCCAAAGCCAAGGCTTTGAGGGACCACAGCGTTCAGTCCATCTCTAAAATGCAGGATGGGATAAGGGAGACATCGCACCACTACAGAGGCTAACCCCATGCTAGATGAGCAGGACCAAAACAATTTGTCAAGGCCAAGGAGTCCAGATAAGGGTGGCTCCAGAGAGTCCAAGGGCTGAGTCTGTTTTGCTTCTACAAGGGAGCAATTAGTATCCTTACGTTAACCGCCAATATGATAGATAGGCAAGATTTCTGGAAGAAATATATTTCTAGGAAAGCAGACTATGAAAATGTTTCTAAAATAGGTTGCTTTAGCATAAATTCTCTTTTTTTATCCCTCTTGGTAACTTTTAAGTATACAAGCAGTCATACTTTAATATTTATTTCACTAACCAACATTATTAAAGAGAAAGTTACATGAAATTGAATCAGAATTTGGTACCTTAGAAAAAACTCACAGGAGAGTTGTATATGTTTCTTCCTGAAGTTTTTGAAGTTGCTCCCACTCTCAATCTATCCATCTGCGGGTTGACACACCATGACTAAAAGAGCAGGCATCTGAATTTGAGATGTGCAGAAATAAATGTGATTCCTCACTGTCCCTTCTCAAAGCAGCGGCAGGAATCACCTCTAGGACCCAACAGCTCTTGCTAGAGATGGCGGTATGGGTACACAATTAGCTATAAACCTTCCTGCCCAGGGGCTATGGGAAAAGGAAATAGCAGGAAGATGGAGGTTGTTATTTTTGCCCCTTGAGGAATGAAGTATGAGACCTGTGGGATCAGGAAGATCAGCTTCAGAGCTTAATTCCCAGACCCCAGAAGACAAATACTTCCATTTGCTAGTTTAGTGAAAGCATGCCTGCATATCTTGGGCTAGTAAACTGGTTGGTTTTTGAATCTACATTGCTGGTGATCAGCAAATCCAAACCTAAAGACATGTTGTTATCACTTGTGTGAACTACAATCTATTGCCAAGATGAGGAACATTTTTTTTTTTTTACTTTATTGGAAACAAAAGGGTTCTGAAGCTGTTTTGCAAATATGTATGTCTTAGCATAAAAAAAAATCATCAAATAGAAAATGCATTGTGACTTCAAGCAGATGGAGACACCCCCAGCCCACCCACCTACTGATGTTGCTTCATTGGGAAGACATGGAACATGACAGGAGTTCCAAATTGCCACCCTCAGTTGAAAGGGTCTCAAAGCTGAGCATACAAGTGCAAAATGAAAATCTTTGCAAGTTATTGTCCGTTCCGTGTGGTGCCCAATGGGGGGAAATGGAAAACGAGGACTCAGCCTGCACTCCCCTTCCTCATCTGTTTGTCTCTTTATCGATAGATGGGACATGTCACCACAGCATCTAGGCTCTCAGCAGCATGGAGGAGGTGGACATGCTTATAAGGACCTAGAAGGCCAGCCTGTCCCTGGCTTCTCTAATCTGCCGTGGAATAATGGTTCTCTGTAACTAACAACAACAAAAGTAATGTACAGGGAAACAAGAGATGAGCAGTAAGCCTTTTGGATCAGGATAATCATCCAAGACTAGGCATCAGACACACAGGGGACCTCTAACATTTGTGCATTCTTCTGACATCACAAGTTCAAATGTGTTTTTCTTTTTCTTTAAACTTTTCATTTTGAGGTCACTGTTGATTCGCTTGCAGTTGTAAGAAATTTTTTCCTTTTCTTTAAGCTTTTCATTTTGAGATAATTGTTGATATAATACAGAAAGATCCCTGTACCACTTACCCGGTCATCCCTAATTAACATTTTGCAGGTAACATTTTGCAGGACATTATTATGATATCAACAATCATATTGACATTGACACAATCCACCAACATGTATTATGCTTTGAAAATCAATTTAACCCTTTGAAAAAGCAGCAAATTCATAAAACGCCTCAGGATTAACAGTCTTCCAATGATGTTTTGTGTATTTATGACTGACTTGTTTGGCTATTAACCATGAAGCCCTGGGTTCCTTGAATGGATCAATGTTTTCTCTCACTGACAGCACTTACTGTGGAGGAGGAACTTCTTCACATTTTCTTTCAGCTTAGAATTTCCTAAAATTAAGATAACAGAGTGTACAGCGGGGTATGAACTAAACAGCAAGATGCAGAACACAGTGATAGAGTTTCTGATCTTGAAAAATTGAGACAAGACTAACATAGACATCATGTACTGGGAGAGGTAGAGGACCAGGAAGCACAGGATGGATAGGAGTGCGCTGATGTAGACACTCATGCCAGGGTGCCTGGTGCCCATCGCTGTGCTCCTCATCTTCTGGGTGTGCCTCCCCAGGGAAAATATCAAGAGAAGAGCAGAGATAAGGAAGATAAGCAAGGGGGTTATGTAGTCAATGGAAAAAAGGACAACTTGCCACACAGGTATGTCTTCGACTGGAGTTGTTCCATTTTGGGAGAAAAAGCCAAACAAGAATTTTTGGAAAATAATCCATTCCTGTTTTTTGTAGAAGACAGAAATGATAAAGGTATAGATCAAGGTCCCAAAAATCAGCCATGGCATCATCTTGGAGATCCTCAACTTCAACCAAAAGAAGAGTGGGTGAGCGATGGTGGCAATCTTGGCACAGTAGAAAACGCTGAGCCATGTGGCCAGCCAAAGTTCCGACTCATGTACATACTTAAAAATTATAACCTTTCCAGGAAATAGAGATAATTCAAACAAGGAAAGAATAGCCAGATTAACGTAGAGGGTGGCCATCTGGAGAACAATCCTGGAAGTCGCCAGGCAGCACAGGAGGAAGTCGAAGGGCACCATCTTTCTCTGCCTGATCAAGTCTGTGCTGTTCACAACCACAATGAAGCCATTGGCTAGAACCCCCACGAGAAACTGAATCACTGACAAAATAAGTTGAGCAATGATGTACAACTGTAACATTTTGACAAGAAAAAAAAAATCAGTTACTTTAAAAACTGATGCAGTGATAGATTTTGGGACAGTTGGAATCAGTCAAGTTTTCTGTTTTTCTTCAGCTGGATTAGAACCCCTTGGGGGACATGACTCTGACAAGGAAGGCAGTGAGGCAGGAAGGCAGTGTGCATGTGTTTATAGCCATTTTCCCAAGGCAGTCAAATAAGAAAGAGATACTCTAGCAGCTATTTGCTTTTTCATGACAGCGTTTGCATTTTCCAGGTCTACTTAGCTTTCAACATCATCATCACAAGCAAATGGTGGAAATGGGACACCTTCACGCTGGCTCCTCTGTTACATAATCAGCAAAAGTTCCTCAATCCTTCATTGGTACCATAAATATTTAATTGTGCCTACAAAGTCTACTTAATGTTTGTGAAGCATTCTTTAAAAACAACAACAACAACAACAACAAAAAAAAACACACGTTCACTTCTGTTATCATGATGCAGTACACTCAGCAACGTAAGTCTCCTAAACAGTTGTTTCCTAAAATGCAACAGTGGAGCAATTCAGCACCACCTAAAACTGAAAACAGTTCTATAATACAACATATAATACAACAAACAGAAAGCACCACAAATATGTATATTTCAAAGGTCAAAGGCCCAAAGGAAGGTGATTTGCAGCAAAGAGAATTACTTAGCACCATTCAGACCAGCAGTTATCTGCAGAATAATGAATCATGGATTGAAATATTACCTTGCTTTTTTTAAAAAATATAAGAATATTGTGACATGAGCTTCTTGATCCTGGGGAAAAGTAACGATAAAATATACATGATTCAATGCATTGTTACAACTTACAGGATATTTTGGGGGAAATTAAATTAGCAGTTATTAACTTGTATACTATGCCAGGTCTTCTTATACTAACCCAGGTTTTTTTCAGCCTTGACACTGTTGGTATTTGGTTTGGATAATTCTCTGTTAGCTTACCTGTGCATATCTACCAGCATCCTTGCCATTTACCCACTAGATGCTCACAGTATAACCCCCTCCTCAGGGGTGACAACCAAAAATGTTTCCAGACATTGCCAATGATCCCTGAGTGGTAAAAATCATCCCCAGTTAGGCACCATTGTCCCAAACCCTGGGAGTGTGAGGAGGTAGTGGCAAATAGAATACAGTTTCTGTCCTCCAGGCAGTCAGATATTAAATGTACAGCAAGCACATGAATAGTGTACAGTGTGACATCAAACTAAATTAGTTATTTGGACAATTCACCACCAGAGCACACAGTGGAGAAGAATGTATTAAATGTTGGGGGAATTGAAGCTTTGCCAACTCAGCACTAGATCATAACATTTCTAGGAGATCCCCTCATGAGGCATATGGACATGTGCTACTTTGTCCAGACGTGTCATAAAGGATACTTAAGAGGACTCTAACCTTTAGAAACCTGGAAGGAAAATGATATGAAAACATTAGTGGTGAGTTACTCTGTCATTCTTCGCTGAATATGTGATGTCTGTGCAATGTGGGACTCCACTTCACTACTCTTGTCACAACTTCAATGGGATGCAGAGAACAAACAGGCAAGCACCAAAGGAGGCAGCTCACGAGTGAATGCCACCCAAACAGGTCCAGAGTCAAGCATGACAATCAGCATAAGCCTTGTTCTTTTCCCTCAGGTGGAGAGAAAGAAATACCAAAAATCTTTCAGTATATTTACATTCTGCAGGCTAGAAAAGCAAAAATGGAAGGGCATCCATCCACCTATGAAATAATGAAGTCAAGAACTCTCGGAAGAGCAGTAACTACTAACTTCCTTGGCTTCTCAATCAAGCCTCTATCAGCACCTGTCCCTTTGCTGGCAAGTGCTGGTGACCAGCCTGTGCCCTGCAAAGCTCAGCCCTGTCAAGGCATACCTACACTTTCTTATCATCCCCAGCACTCTTTCGTTCTTTTGATGTTTGGCTTATGGTGGCATTTGTTACATAGAACCAAACTAAATTAAATAAGCATTTTCAAAACAAAGGAAAAGAGAAATAAATATTACATATTCACTTTAAAGAGAGATTTTGCTCTCTATCTTTCTGTTCCCAGAGACATCACATCACAAGACCAGCCTCTAGCTCTTACCTGTTGCCCCAATGTTGCCAAGACCTTTACATTCCCAGTCCTTCAGCATGGTCTGGGCATTTCAATAGCAATAATAATCTATACTAATAAAAGGTTAATATGCTAATTAGACTGGGTCAACCAGACATCCAACTTCCTTCTGGACAAAGCCACAGTGGCAGGGCCGAGGAAGAGGTGGTTAGGGGCAATCAGGCTGGCAGGGGAGCAAGCTGTTAGGGGTGAGATTAGGCCAGCAAAGGAAGCAAGTAGTCAGGGGGCAATTAGGCCAGCAGGGGAGTGGTCAGGGAGTGATCAGACTAACAGGCAGCAGCAATTAGGGGCAATTAGGCAGGCAGAGGTGGTTAGGGACAATCAGGCAAGCAGACAGGCGAGTGGTTAGGAGCCAGCAGTCCTGGATTGTGAGAGGGATCCCAGATTGGAGAGAGTGCAGGCCGGGCTGAGAGACACCACTCCATGCACAAATTTTATGCACTGGACTCTAGTAATAATGATGATGATGATCATAATAATAGTAATAATAATAATAATGGTAAAACTAAGGCAGAAAAATGAAAAAGAATTTTCTATTTTGAGTCGAGAATAGTAATATAGTCTTTCCGTACTGACAGCAAACTAGCAGAGATGATGCATAGTACACCAAAGACTTAAAGGAAATAACCATGTCTGATTCTATTTATTAACATGCTGCTTGTCTTTCGGATTCAGGCATCTTGAGGGGATATTTGGTTCTCAAGCATTCTATTGTAACTTTTGTTAGCACTAGCGTGGGGAATCGGGGCAATTCTTCATAGAGAACTTCATTTCACGGAGAACAGCTCTTTTGACGCAGAAATCCCGTGGAGCAAAAAATAAAAATTCATGAGGCTGAAGCTACAAATTTTTCATTAAATAATTTCCATCACTAATCCCTACAGTGAGCACATACACAAAGGCTGCCGAAGGCACACCATTCCTGGACAAGTGCCACCAACTCGCCGGAGACCTGTATTTCCTACCCTGAAGGGTGGCGGGATAAGAGAGGTCTGTTCATAGCAGCAGAGCACGTGTGTGGCTGCTACACTAATGTCGCATTCAGACCCCGGGGGCAGCTGCATTGGGCTCATGCTATCCAGCCTGCCCCTTAGATCCTACCACATCAATCAAAACACCCAGGAGCCTCTATCACGCTGTGCTGAGCGAGAGCCAGCTAAATATTGCTCAACAAACCAAACGGAGAAAAACGGTCCTAAATAGAAAAGCCCTCTGTGTCTCGTAAGCGGTTGGTTATAGTGAGAAGGACGCATCGGAGAATTTCTGGCTCCGAGATGAAAAGTGTGTTATGTCTGGCCTCATCTGTCAGTCATCCGCTCAGAATGATGACAGTTTTACATGGACAAATGGCTTGGAACAGATGGAACAAGTCCCGATGTGGAGAAATTCACATGACGATTACCCCACATTACCCTGATTAAATCCGCTTACTCACACTCATCTGTAATGAGCAGTCATTAAGAGAGACAATACCGCATATTCTTGAGGTAACTGACAGGCGGAAAGAGTTGCTTATTTATATTCAGATCATTCAGCTCCTCAAAAGAAAGTGCAATTCTCCCCCCCCGCCCCAACAGGCAGTTAGACTGACATTGGCAAGCTTTTCACCAGGTAGAATGCTATAATAATTGTCTGGCTGCACAAAGACTCTACTTTGGAGTTAGAGTCACTATGAAAGCGAGCGATAGTGTTAATACCTTTCCCAAGTGAGTCTTCCCACTCCATTATCAAGGGAGCAATTCCTGCTTTAAGGAACATGCCCATGTATCAACATGATTGTATAATTAATAGATCATTCTACTGAGAAAGATATAAACCCTGGGCTAGCCAGCACAGACACCCTCGCCACGTCAACCCTGGAGCACAGCTCTCAGCCCTTGTTAAAGCCTCTATGGAATTCATTCCACCTAAAATTCACAACATTTTGGTTAAAAAGCTCCAGACTCTCTCAGACTAATCATTCTTCGCATCCATTCATTCGCCTCTCTTCTCTTGAATATGCAGTTGATCTTTTGTACTGAAAATTTTGCCTTGAATGTTCAGGTCACTCCACTTTACTTGTCCCTCCATCTCCTCTTTTTATCTTAGTCATTCATTTCTGTGCTTTTCTTTACTCTTCACAACATTCTGAAATGTATTTGCATCGCAGCAAATAGAGTAATGGGGCATGAATTGAAGTCTTTCATCGAAAGAACTTGAAGTGCTTTGCGAACAAGCATCCTGTGTTAATTACAATGACGATGAGGAACCTTGGCTCACATGAATAATATCCAGTCCCCACGATTTTTCTTCAGCTCTAAACTGAGTGGTGGGATATCAGTTTTTTGTGTGTGTTATGAACTATGGACGAGGCACCGTTCTAAGCATGGAGCATATAGCAACTAACAAGACAAAGCCTCTCTTGTCTTGGAAATTATATTTTAGTGGAGAAGATTCGATTTAAACAAGTAAAGAAATAAATGCCTCCAGGTAACCTAGAGCAAGGTGCTAGTTTAGAAAGTGTGGCCGGGTAGACAGAGTCCTCAGAGAGAAGGTGATCATTGAAAAGAGAAAAGGATGACAAGAACTATCTCTGGAGATCTAGGGAATGATCACTCCAAATGGAGGGCAGGAGAAAGCAATGTCCTCCCCCGCTTGAACCACAAAAAGAGCTTGCCGGTTCCACAACAGCCAAGGGCCAAGTATTGCAATGGCAGGGCAGCATGAGCAAGGGGAAGTACCTGAGGAGAGGAGAATAGAGGGGCAGGTGTAGTGTGGTCAGATTGGGGGGATTAGAAAAGGGCACAAGTAGAAGCAAAAGGACCAATTTGAAGGTTGTGCAGTAGACTAGGCAGTGGAAGTTGTTGGCTTAAA